CTTACACCCCAAAACATTTTTCTTAGTTCCTCACAACTTAAGATTTTGTATCCTTAAAACTAACATAAATTTTACACCTTTTTTCCTATCCTAATCATGAGACACAGGTGGTTGACTACTGGGCACAGCCGCTGTAAAGTGGGTTCCTTTAAATGAAGGAACAGTAAAAGCTTACATTGAAATCTGTTTTGTGATCCCATCTCTTCTCTGAGTCTGGTAACAAGGCAAACTGTATCTAGACAGAGATAGTAGCAGCTCTAGGAGAGTGAGGCCTGCGGCCTGATTTTTACACATGAAGAGAACTGAGAAGGCAGCTGAAAACCTTGATTGCTAATGTTTACATATGAAGATAACCGAGTAAGCCTTGGTTGCTGCTTACTGACAGACAAAGCTATCACCGGTCAGCAACTCTGTCAGAGACCTGAGAAAGATGAGCTTCACCCAAGCAAACAGGAAATACAGCCCAAACAGCTTCCAACACTATTAAAAATGTCAAGAGACTTATCAGCTACCTGGACAATCACCCTAGGCTCCTCTGTGGACACTGGGAACAGAGATCCCAAGGCAGCATCAATCTTAAGATGCTAGGCCCAGAAGATCCAACAGACTTTCCTATGGAGTAGAAACTTAAGGGGACTGTCTTATCTTGTCTAGGTAAAGCAGGACAATCAATTCCCCAGTGTCTTGCCTTGTACATAGTTTGAACAGCATGCTCTCAGCAGACAAGGTAAAAGGCAGATTGCTATCCAATGGCTAGCTTTGCCACATTTAAATCAAGCTCCAGGTAAAGGGTCTTCTGTGCTCATCATCTTCTTTGGGGGAGATTAGGGGTGCTGCCAGAAGCTGACTCTCTATCACAAAAAGATTTTTTTTAAGTTAAAAATTTTTAAATGCCGTATTCTGCAGATCTCTCAAGCATTTGAGGACCATCTATCAATTAAGTATATCTGAATAGACAACCTTTGTCTGTTTTTAGTTACTTGCTTCAAAGTTAGGCTTAACTTTGAAAGCATATGCAGGAGGCTAAATAAAGCTTATTCCTATAATTAATTACATTAGTACTTAACACAACTACAATTTTAGTTCTGAACACATTAAAGAATTTGGTCATTTAAAAAGTGACTATTAACTTGCATATCTTAATTATCCTTAACAGTCGACAATAAATTAATAGTTTTCATAAGACTAGGATTTTACATTCTATCCCTATTAGGTTTAGCTGTTAAACTATTCAAGTCAAAAAATTTTGAATTGAAGCTCTTCTAATATTAAAAATAAATCTTTTAAACATAGATACAGGCCATAGAGAGACTCACAACTTTACTAATTCTTTTATGGTTCGCCATTAGAGACCATTGTAGTTTGCATGGCTTAGTTTATTCAAATAGTTAAAACTTAAAAGGCAAAGAAGCTTAACAAATATTGCTGTGAACCTGAGTAGATGTTAGGAGTTTATAGATTGTGATTAGCAAATACTTATTTATCAAACACATGTTGTTACTTATCTAACTTCTCTAGCAGCTTGGTGTTGCATAGTTACCAAAGACATAATTAGTTAGACATAAATTTTAAATTCACTTTTGTTAATCTGAATAGACCTTTGTAACCTTAAAATGTCATCATCATCTATATTATATTCGAAACCAGAGTGGAATTGCATATACAATAAGGTGTAGCAAATATAACTCTAAATTTCTATCATCACACAAAAGTCCATACCAATCCAAAACATTTGAGACTTCTTGTTGCTTCTTTAGTCTAAAAGGAGATACAGTAATAAACAAAGAGTTAATTAGGGCTAAGAAGTTTTACAAGTGTTGCTTTATAACATGTGGTCATCTTAAGATGGTGAAGTCACATGGTACGTAATCTTTAACCTTAGTAAAGATGGTTATACCCTGATGTGGCCAGTAGCCAAGATGAAAGAGTGCTGCATAGTTGCTATTTAAAAACATTAATTTTCCTCCTATATATGCTAGGATCAAGAAGACAGATAGATAGATAGATAGATAGATAGATAGATAGATAGATCTTAGGAAATATATACTATGTATATTTATATATAAGTATAAAAATGATTTATATGTGTGTATATTAAATGAGTTGAATCCATGTGATATATATGCATACATAGAGTTGAATCTGAGTTACATACACATACACACATATATATCCTGGACAAGAGTTGAAACACACACTCAGAGAGAGAGAGAGAGAGAGAGAGACAGAGAGAGACAGAGAGAGACAGAGAGACAGAGAGAAATTTTAATTAAGCTTAAAGCCAAAATTTGTTACCAATGATACAGAATTTTTAACCATATCCAATGAGCAACTTACAAATCCTGAGGTAAGAGTTTACAGCATAACCTTTAGATATTTGTTTTTGAGAGCAGAGTGCAAAGAAATTCTAGAGATAAAAGATTTTTAATAGTGGGGAAGTAGAATCTTAGAAATAAGAGACTTTGGGAGTATAGAGCATAGTAAGTTTAGATGCAAGGTTATTTGGAGATCATTTGTTTGGGACAGTAGCAGTTAAGGATTTGTGAGAATTTGGAAATCAAGTTCTAAAATCTGAGTCCAGGGAGGAAGAGAGGGTGGGGAGGGGAGGAGGCATAGCAGAACTCTATGTGTTGGTGTAGCGATGAGGGGAGGGGAGCAGTCCTATAAGCTCCAAGAGAGGCTCAGAGTGTAAGCAGGCTACGGGACAGCAGGCTGGAGCTGAGAATTTAATTACCTTAGTGGGTGGGTCCCTAGTGGGCCCAAAGCCTGGCTGCCTAAAGCCAGATGAGAGGGAGAAGGGAAGGAAGCCATCCATGTGGGTCAGCAGACTGAAAGCCAGAGCCATGGAGGACACAGGGCTAGAGAGAAGCAGCAGCTGAAGAACTGGACTCTAGAATTTGGAATCAAATTCACAAAGGAACGAACACACCTCTGGAGGGTTAGGTTAGCTCAGTTCCGAGCAGAGACTGAGGGGGAGAACAGCCTAGTCTGTTGAATGCTCTGTCGTTGGCCTGCTCCTCTGGTTTTTCTACTCCTGACCAGCTCTAAGTTGCACTTTGCAACAAACTTACAGACATATTGTTTATGCAGTGTAGGGAGGGAGATCAGACATAAAAAGTGCTTGGAGCGAGAGAAAAGGAAATAAGGAAAGGGGAATTTTTTTCACATTTTCAATCGCTCTGCGGCGTATTGAGGTCAGATTCCACTCTGGAGAGGTGTAGGTTCTCCAAAGAAAGACATCCCAAAGGGAGTGAAGAGATGAATGCCGCAGTCCCCATAGGGAAACTAGAGAGAGGCCCCAAACCCGAAGCTCAGAGGCATCCCAAGGACTCAGGGAAAACTGAACAGAGAAGGCACATGCTGCCCAGAGAGTCCTCACTTTCATTGTGCAGGGACCAGGGCCTAAGAGCCAGAGGGTGAAAATTGGTCAGAGGAGGTACCTCCACCAGAGACTCAGAGAAACATTTAAACCAACTGAGAGGGAGAACTTACCAACTGCCAGTGTCAGATTGGATACAAAGATTGGTGGACAAGAAAGTATCCACTTTATGTTGTTGAGGGTGGAGAGGACCAGTAGGGTTCAGTGTGGTTAGACACCAGGAGAGACATCCCTGACACACACACACACACACACACACACACACACACACACACACACACA